ATACCTGTATCGGAAATGACAAGAATTGGTATATAAGTAAACTTCTCAGATTTTAAGTACCATATTTAATAAATCTACAATGAAGATTACATTAAAGTACGAAGAGTTGTGTTCCGTTTTATGGAGTATATCTTCAAAAGGGCCAGAAAGAATTGAAGACATTTCAAATTATATAAAAACTACATATAGTAGAAAAGTAGACAAAACAGGCATATCAAAAATTGAAAACTTTTTGATGTAAAAAGTAAGTCTGTGGATGGAAATCAAGAGAAATTTCGATTAAAATTTTGTAGTTGGATGGAAACTACTACGGAAATCTCAACTTACAACACATCAACAGGAGCGCCTTGCAAGTCATACGAAGACTTATGTTCAAGGTAAAAAAAAAGAGGGTCACACAAAAACTTTTTTGAATCTCAAGTGAGGATATTGCTGATACATTTAACGAAATGCTGAAAAAGGAAAACCAACCTATGGATGTCGTACATATTGCAACTATTCTTCCTAATGCATCACCAAAACGACTTAAGCGAATTGTGGAAAGTATACCAACTCCAACATCATAATCAAATTTTACTGAAGAGGAAGCAATAGCGCTTATGTTGGAACTGGGTCTCAGTCGAAATAAGTACTAAATATTAAGGAAAGCTCTGCATGAAAAAGGACACAATATATTACCATCATACAAGGCGATCCAGGACAAAAAACAAACTATCCTACTAAATCAACAAAAAATAATGAAGAATTGAAAGAACTGAGAGCTGCGGAAAAAAGCAGAATCCAAGAAGAATTTAAAGTTCAGATGGGATTAAACATCGACAAACCACTTTCAAGTTGCGGTAGTACAAATGACGGTAATACGGCGAGAAGATTTTTTCGTGATTTTGAAATTACTTCAAAAATAACTTGAATCGACAAGGAGTTGCTTCGAAGAGTTAACACTATTTTAATGGCACTGAATAGTAAACATAAAATTAATGGAAATCGATTTGGGGAATACACATCTGAAATTTCTAAATTACTTGTATCTCTGTATCCATGGAGGGAACTAACACCAACAGTACACAAAGTATTGTGTCATGGTCAAATAATAATTGAATCGAATATTCTTCCACTTGGAGAGTTAACAGAAGAAGCCCAGGAAGCGAGGAAGCGAGATTTTAACCATGTTCAACTATTCAGCTCAAGAAAATGCTCCAGGCAATCACAGAATGAAGATATTTTTAATAGTTTACTTCTATCTTCTGATCCTGTTCTTTCAACTATGCGAAAAAGATGGATTTGTTATGAAACTCTATCATCTCAAAACAAGGAAGATTTAAAGGACTTATACTACCTTCTGGATATGTATACCGATATGACAGATTATTTTATAGAAAATAAGTAGTGTTAGGAATTAACTATATAAGTAGGTTGTAAGAATTAATTGTATTATGTTTAAGATAAACAGTTCAAATAAAAAAAGCTATTATACTAACTGATGATATTGTATTAAATTGTGTTTTATATTTCGGTGGGCGGGAAAGGTAATTTGTGTGGGGTGATTTAGGTGTTGTTGTGCGTGGCTCATAATAAAATTATATTTTTTTTATTGTATATACAATATTATAATAAAATAATTAACTAAATAATTTTTAAAAATTGTCCAAATATTTTATTCAACACCAAATGTATGTTCTGTCATACTTAATACTAAAATATGAAAAAGATGAAATTAAAGGACACAGGTTTAAATGAACATATTTTTGAATGTAATTGAGATATTGGCCTGAAATTTTTTGTAAAGGGTCGAGAATTTCCATATCTAACTAAAAAATGATATTAAGGGATAAATATGGACTAAATTGTTGTAGCTATCTGCGATCCTATTAAAATTTTGATATAAATCATAGTTTTAGAAATTAAACAAATATGTAATATATGACAAAATCTTTATTTATGAACAAAACTCAATGAAATTTTCAACGCTTGTTAAATTTGTCATTTCAAATAAGAATATGCAAAAAAAAAATTGAAAAGGTCAAAGGGCATCCCGCAATTCCCAAAAATAGGAATGAAAATCCCAAAAATGGGATTTTTTACTTTTTTGCCCATAGGGTCCACATTTCTTTCAGGGCTGGGAAAATACTTTTGGAGTAAATAGAAAACATATTGAGGTTTCCAAAACTGCTTTCAGTTTTCTGATCCCAGCTTTGGGATTTTAGAACATGTCGCCCAAAGTTGAAGTTTTGATAAAAAATAGGTCATATTCGGAAGGACGCAGTGGCAACATTTTCAAAAAATAGGACAAGTTTTTTACGCCAAAGCGTTCTGCGTAAAGATACCTTTTAGAAAACTATAAAATTGTTATATGTTCTTAAAGAAAATTTTATTTTATTAATAAAAGAGTTAAGACACATTTTTGGCAAAAAAAACGCCAAAAATCTAAAATTTTTTGAATTTTTAAATTAAAAAACGTATATTTTTGGATCTGTAAACGATATTGATCTGAAATTTTTTGTATATTATTGGAAATTTTGTTGTCTAACAACAGGAAAAAATTGAGTTCATTTGGTCCAAAATTACGCCCGGTATTCTAAAAAAGGCGGACCAAGGTATGGTAAATTTTGTATCACTAAATTTTTAAATGCCTATAACTCGGATATTATAAGAGATAAGTAGTATGTCCAAGCAAGTTTTTTCAAGATCTCGTCGAGCGCTTTCACAAAATATAAAAATCTTTGTATTTGGGTGAAAAACAAAAAAATGGCACGAGTTTAAAAATTTTACATGTCGTAGGTACCCCACTTTGAGCCGCCACAGCGCCGTCCCTGGGGCATCTGCAGGGTTCATCTTCAAAACTTAAACTCGAATACTCCTTGGCTACGCTCACGCCAAATTTTATCCCGATCGGATCAGCCGTTTAGAAATGCCAGATTTATTTCCAAAAAATTTCCATTCTGCCCCACTGTGGGACCTTAAATTGTAAGGACCTACAATTTCAAAAGATGAAATTCTAAATGTATATAAAAAATTTGGTATTAATATCAACTAAAGCTGAAAACCTCTGCTTTAAGCAATGTTATATATTTCAATTCATGAGGATTAAAAAAAGGAAGCTTAAAATAAAATAGTTACAAAATTGTGTTTTGGAAAGTGAGACCATTTTTAAATTTAACTTAATTTTCGATTTTTTGTCTGAGTCATATAAATAATATGGATAGAATGTACAGATTCCCAGCTATTATTTGATACCAATATTAGCATCATACATCACATATAAATATTTAAAATATTCATTTGAAATTGTAAGTCCTTTAGGCCCAATCTTTAGGTGAAAGATTAACGATTAAATTAAAATTAATCTTCGAAAGTTGCCTTTGAGTACTCAATTAGTTAATTTTGTTTGCAATTTTAAGCGCCTAATGGAGGTGGTTTAAACTTAAGCATGAAATGCAAAAGTGTAAACAGCTCATGCAAAAAAATTAATACAATTTTTATAAATATAAACATTAAAATGTTCTATTTATTGATTAGTAAAAATTAAACACACTTATCAAGTTATTGCCTAACAACAATTGAATATTTTTTAGTTTCAAAAACCAAGTTCTAGTACATTTTCAATGTGGCTTATCATGTTCTTGAAACAAAAAAATATATATAAATTTTATTTTCAATACGAAATTTATATTTTGTTACATTTTTACTTTCTTTTTCATATGATAATAAATTTGGCTAAATATAGCTAAATTATTCTGCAGTAAAAGGCAGGTACTGCAGTATGATTCGGTATAAATAGGCAAAAAAATATTTTAAATAGATTGACAAAACACATTGGTTTGGGGGTTGCACTGAATATTCAGATTAAAATTTGAGATAATCCTTGCTTTTATTCATCATAGTTGATTTTCTGCTTCTTGATCATCATTTTGAACATCTGAACCAATTTCAATGCATGTTGGATTTTAGAAATGTCAAGTCCATTGTTCAAAAAAGGTTTCGATATGCATTTTATAAGCTGATAATTGTGACATGTTTTATAAAGATTATTGGATATGCTGCAATGTCTTTGGTATGATAAATAGACTTTATATTATACATGTAGTTTGAACATTATATAAGATATTTTCGCGAAATGTTAGTTTATAAAAAAATCGAACATTTCCCAAACAGCAAAAACTTGGTAAGCAACATAATTAATTATAAATTAAATTATTTTTATGCAGAAATATGGTAAGCCACTTTAATTTCAAAAAATTTTATCTATCGAGATTTTGGCCAAAATAATTTTTTCTTAGTAGAATGATTACTTGTCTTACCTGGTTATATCACAACAATATAAAAAATTATCAATTCCTCTTTTATCTTCATCATTATAAAGGACTTTCTTAAAAAGTGTAAAAAATATATGTGGCATATCAAGTTAATGAAATAAAAATTCTTACAAATAGTTTAAATTGAAAAAGGGGCATGACTCTTATATCGCCAATTTACCATAATATGCTAAAAATCTTTTTAGGGACAATAGATATGGGTCCTAGTAACTCAAAAAGCACATCAAAACGAATTGTGATAGTGGGTGTCTTATCGAGTTACTGCAATAAGCCCTTCATATATTTCCTCACTTTTAACTGGGTTTTCATTTGTAAGGGTCCAATTAAAAAATCGTCTAAAGGTGAAATGTAGCTACAGTCCAGCCATAAACACTGATATATTATATGTTCCGATCGGACGACGTAATATATAAAAAACAAAAAGGGCGGTATTTCTAGGCATGACAAAAAAAATAATTTTTATATTTTAGGAAATGTTATTAACATATTTTTAATCCTAGGGGGTGACTGGCACAACTTTTTTTGTCCATAGAGACCGACCCACTCTAATGTATACTCTTCTCAGGAAGGTGACATGGTTAGTAATCTTAAATAATAAGTAAATAAATACTTTAGAATATATTAATGCAAAAACACGAGTAACATAGATTAATATATATTTATAAGATAAAATTATTCAAGACCTACCTTGGTGGAGCCCAATCATGACGAGTGCAATCCAGCAATGTTCCAACATATGTTTTGCCACGCCAAGTTACATTAACCACAAGTACTCCGCCTTCAGTTTCATGCCACACTATTCCTTCTAATGTTACTGAAGTTCCAGGTTCACAGGGCCCAAGGCAATCTGGTTCCGTAATAGTACCAACAGACGTGCCTATGCAAATATCAACCATTTCCTTATTTATTGCAGGTGTTGCAACATCAGAATGTTTAATACGCTTTGCTGGTGGAGATTCTGTATTTTCGTTCAATGAGGTCGTAGTAGTTATGGAATTCTCTGTTCCAACTGAAGATGAAATAGATAAAGTCTTATTTGAAATTGGTTCAGAAACAGTGTGATGAACTGTAGCTGAAATTAGACCTGGTGCTACATGCTTTGCTATTTGGGTTTGAACATTGGATGACGGCGATTTCATATCGATATTTGAAAAAGTGGAAGCAGATATACATGAACCATTTGAAGAATTATTTGAAGCTGCAGCAGCAGCTAATTGTGCAGCAATATGCGAAGAAATTTTAATATTACCATTATTAGCAGACAACTCTTTGTTCGGGGGACCTGGTGCGTTGGCATTGACACTACTTGATATCGTTTGTGTAGATACGGGTGCACTTATAGCAGTAGTGACAGATAAAAGAGACGAAACTGCTGTTGAACTTAAAGTATCTGCTGAGGGTGTAAATACTCCTGGCGGTACTGTAGAAGAATTACCGCTAGTATTTTGCGTTGATAAACGTTGTGTAAGTGTATTATTATCAGTCTTTCGAATACATGTATTAGAACATGTGGCAATATTACAATCTGAGCCACCACAATGACATATGACCCTGTCAACGACATCTTTATCAGAAACAACTGAAGAATTTTTCTCATTTACCATACGATTGGAATGTGAGGATTTTTCCTTTGCTTTATCTCGACGATGTCCAGAACTTCCTCGTTTTGTTCCTTGTACTGTTGTTTGGGAAACATTACTGTTTGTAGAAACTTGGTTGTTAAGAGAAATAGATCCATTATTATTTGTTGATAAATTATTTTGGTTGTTACCGCTTCCATTTTTTTTATTTCCGTTGAGATTTGAATTACCTTGGGTATTACAAGTTGCCGATGCTACATTTTGAGAATTGGATGATGTTGTTTGGTTTGATACTGCTAGCACACAAGTATTATCTTCTTGGTTTGAAGTGCAAACACCAGTTCCACTAGCTAATAATCCGTTTTGCTGTTGCTCAGTAGCTTTTACAATTTCATGTTTAGCTTCTGAGCTTTTTGTGCCCGGTTTTGTACGTTTTATCTTCATTTTTAAACCCTTGTCCAGTGTGGCTTGATGGTCAATTGACATTTTATTGTTTAACTTATTACTGTTACTAGAGCAAGAAGTGCCCTGATTACTGTTTACATTAGTTATTGACGCTCCACTTATATTACTACTAGTGTTACCATTGTTTCCAGATTGAGATGACATGCTGATTTCGCAGTTTTTATCTTCTAAAAATTGTGTTTGTTTTAATTGATGACCTGTATTATTATTCAATTTTGTAGAGTACAGTGAAAATGAATTAGAAGAGGTTGAAATAAGATGTCCTCCCTTTGAAAATCCTGCAAATGTCGATGCCGCACAGCATACGGGTGTAATGGTTAAAGATTTCGAAATATCTTTTTCAAAAATATTTTTGTTTTTTGAACATTTTAACGATTTAGGGTCCTCATGAAAATTTAAATCAACTTCATATTTTCCTTTTTTGCAATTATTTGGATGTTTTGGCTTTATGTCTTTTTTGTTATTACTTACATTTTGTATACCATCAAATTTAGAGCTTTGGATATTTTTTAATGATTTTTCTATATCTGCATCTAATTCATTAAGTAGCTCAGGTATGCCGTCAATGTCCCATTCTTCTTCATATTCAAAATTTGAATTTTTTATTACTTCACTGTTAGGTGTTAGGTTCGATAAAATAAGTTCGTTGTTATTAGACTTTATAAACTCTGAAAAATATTAATACTCAGATTTATTATTGTGATTTATAATTATTTGTTGTAATATAAAATTTTTGAAACAAGTCGGTTTTAGTGACATTTCTCAAAAAAAAAAAAAAAAAAAACAATATAGAGCGTTTTGAGACGATTAAAGATATACATTTTTTTTTGTCGGCCACGCCTACTTTCGAGTGGGCGGGGCTCCAAAGTTTAATACATTTTTGTGTATATCTCAAAAAAAATTTTTGTTTACAATAAAAATTTATACATCAAATTAAAGGTATTGAAAATATGGACCGACTATGGGTATTTCCCGGAAAATATATATTTTGACCCGACTTTTTTTTCAGCTAAAAGAAATCGGAAAAAATGCCAATGAATTAAGCTTTTATTTAAGGTATAAACCATTTCTGTATCTAATCAAATGAAAGAGATATTTGATTTCAAAAACCATTTATAAATGTCAAACTGGATATATGTTTAGTAAGTTTAAGACAGGGTTGGACATTTAAAAAATATTTTTTGTTTACACGGCTTTCTTTGCTTAATAAAGATTTCCTAAATAGCCGGCCTATGGCCGGGCGCAAGGATTTTCTCCTCTATGGTATGTCCAACACCGGCTTCGCTTAATAAAGACTTCCTGAATAGACGGCCTACGGCCGGGCGCAAGGATTTTCTCCTCTATGGTATGTCCAACACCGGCTTCGCTTAATAAAGATTTCCTAAATAGCCGGCCTACGGCCGGGCGCAAAGATTTTCTCCTCTATGGTATGTCCAACACCGGCTTCGATTAATAAAGATTTCCTAAATAGCCGGCCTACGGCCGGGCACAAGAATTTTCTCCTCTATGGTATGTCCAACACCGGCTTCGCTTAATAAAGATTTCCTAAATAGCCGGCCTATGGCCGGGCGCAAGGATTTTCTCCTCTATGGTATGTCTAACACCGGCTTCGCTTAATAAAGATTAGTATACATACGTTTTTTTTCTTAATAGCAAAATCATAATTAAATTATTAATATCTCAGGAACTATAATACTTACAAAAACATATTATACCTTAATAAAAAGCTCAATATCTTGGCTTTTAAACAATCTAATTTATATACTTACCTATAAAGGCATTTTTTCCCGATTTTTTAGATAAACCTCAAAAATATCGGGTCAAAAATTATGTTTCCCAAAATTGACCTATAATGGGTCCTTTTTTGTATATCATGTTACATATCATTGGTCTTTGAAATACCTTTTATTTGATATATATATCGGTCCAAACAAATGTATATTTTTCGAGATATAGCCCTAAATATTTTGAACTTTAGAGGCCCGCCCACCCTAAAGTAGGCGTGGCCGACAAAAAATTTTTACGTCATTTCACTCACAAACGAACTCCCTATCGACATGATTTGAAAAATGCCACTAAAACCGACTTAAGCCAAATTTTTAAAAATGATTTAGAAATCAATTTTCGAATAACATAATCAATTTAGGAGGACAAAATTAAAAATTCTGCATTTTTTGAATTTTGAGATATAATGTTTTATCGGTACCTAACAAATTGCCCTTTGATAAGAGAAGCGCGAGACGTTCATCAAATGATGGATAATATTTTTGTTTAAAAATGTTTATTATATTAGTGCATAACTAAAACATATTATTAATTTTGGCAGTGACCTTCTGTGACCTTTAGAAATATTAAAAAGAATTGAGAGTGTCCTATGAAATTTAATACGTTATTAAAATTTAATGTAAACACACATTAGGGGCATACACAAATTTTTGGCCTTTGCAAGGTGCAAAAAAAAAAAGGTAAAAGTCTACATTTATTTTCGTAAAAAACCCTTATTTTAGATCAATAAAGAATCATTGTCCCATAAAAATAAGATTTTCTGATTATTTTCAGATTTAAATCCAAGGATGTGAAATTATGTTTTTTCTGTATAAAAATCGTGGAAATATTCTTGTATCTTTAATTTTACATAATTTATTTTAATTTTTAATAATATATTCAATATAATTTGAGAAAATTTCTAAAAGTTACCATCCTAATAATCATTAGATAAGTTTATACAATAACACATTTTTGTTAAAATTCTAGGAGAGCGAGCACTAAATGTGTATTCTATTTTCTCCTGTTCTGTATTTTGCTGAAAAAAATATGGTCACCGTAATTATGGCAACTCTAAATGGTGTACTTTGACAGTTGTGTCTACCTCAAATAAAAAAATGAGTGACCAGCCGTTCAATCGACTTCACCTTGTGAGTGCATCCTGGGTTTCATGGTTTTGTGCATTTTGTTTTGTTTGGCGTTCTTGTTCTTTGTTTTGTTTTGCTATTGCTAAAGTAATGTAGAGTTGGGAAAAATTAAATTTTATACAATTTTTATAGCATCTGGCGATTTCAATACTATTTAAACATATACATATAAGCAATATCGTCCAACAGAATAGATGCCATATCTGGAAAATAACTATTGCCCTACAGACCTACATACAGTATTGGCCAAAACAAATGCACCCCCTTATTGAAGTTTTCTTTAAAGTAGTTCTAGTTATTAAAAATAAGGCAAATTTGAAAGATATTACACTTTTTGTTTATAGTTTTGTTAGGTCGTTAAAGAACGGTAACACATAATTTGTATATTATTTATTAAAGAAAAAATTTTAAAAATATTCATATTCTTCAGAATATCATTGTTCAAAACATTAGCATCCCCATAAAAAAGATTTTTTTTATCGAATTTCTCTATTATGTTTTTATAGATTTTAATTAGAATTAATTAGATTTTATTTAGAAATTAAATTTTAAACATAAAAATATTCTTTTTACTTTGTTTTTTAATATTAAAATTAATTTTTCAACACTTTATTGGCCGCATAGCACCAGACATCTGAATCGGAGGTGCCACATTCATAATTTCTTAAATAAAATTAGGGTAGGTAGGTCGATAGGAGGATGTATACTACATCAAATCCGAAGAAATACACCTAGGCCACTATCGGGCCTGTTGTGCGCTCCTTATCATGAAAAAAAAACTGAAATAATTATTTTTCAGTGTTCAGAAACTCAGTTTCCTGAACGTAATTCCTAAGAATCTTCCAATCAGTGTTAGTCAGTGTTAGTCCAAGATACTTGGATCTAACTTCGACGAATGCCTGGCAGTGGCATAGATAGTGCTCCAGAGTTTCACTGTCCTCTCCAAAAGCTCTACATTCGTCTGAATCCGCACGTTCAATTTTGCATAGATGTGCTCGTAATCCTGTGTGTCCACTCAGAATACGTACCATCATACTAACTTCAACCTTGCTCATTTTTCGTCTTGCTCTCATCAGGGTCACCCCATAGGATCTTCGTGGTTCTACCCACTGTTTCATTATTCTTATGGGATTCTCTCACCCATATTTTTAGTTCAGCTTTTGTTGCGTCGAATGGTTTTGCGTTTTTCAGGTTAACTGCCTCGAGCTCCCTTTCCTTTAAAGCTATTACATTCGCCCTTTCGTTACCGACTACTCCCGAGTGGGCTGGTACCCATATGATGTGAACCTTACCTCTGGGAGAGTATTCAGTTAAAGCTTTCTTACAATCCAATACGGTCTTAGATTTAGTTCTATCGCCTGATATCGCCCTAATTGCCTTCTGGCTGTCGGTAAATATATTAAGCGCTGTGGGCGCCATATTTATTCTAATCCAATTTACGCATTCCGTTATTGCTCGTACTTCTGCCTGGAAGCTTGTGTTATGATTTGGTAAACGGTGGTATATTTCTGTTTCTGGGTCTTCAATGTAGAAACCCGGCCCCACTTTGTCCCCCAATTTAGAGCCATCCGTGTAACAACGGATTCCTAATGGTATTTGCTCTAATGTTCCGCTTGACCAAGACATTCTATCTGGGATCAGCGTTTCAAAGTTTCCGACATATTCTGTGTTTGGTATACGATCAGGCACGTCCGATGATTGTGTATAACCTTCCAATGTGTCCAGTATACATTGATGACGTGTCCTATAACCGCTTTTGGCCAGTTCGCCTAAAGTAAAGAGCCTCATATCTTAAATATGTTTCAATGGGTGGAATATCTAGCAACGTTTCCAGAGCCTTGGTTGAAGTAGTACACATGACACCACTTATACCCAAGCAGCATGTACGCTGAACTCCCTGTAGTAGTTTGATATTGCACTTTTTGTCTAAAGCAGTCCACCAGATTATTGAAGCATAACCTAGAATTGGTCTAATTACACTTTTATAAAGCCAATTTGTCATAGTAGGACTAAGACCCCATTTCATGCCTATAGTTCTCCTACATATCGCCCAGCACCGATGTGCCTTGTTGATCCTATCCTCTATGTGGTATCTCCATTTTAATTTCCGATCGAAGATTACACCTAAGTACTTAACTTTGTATGTCACTGGTACCTTTGTATGTCTTGCCCAGGAAGCAAGGTTCAGTATACGTAGAAATTTTTGTCTTTCTTGTGAAAAGACAGATTTCCGTTTTTGCCGGGTTAACATTGAGGCCTCTCGGTTGAGCCCAGCTCAAGGCCGTATTCAGAGCCACCTCAGCTCTTCTATACAAGTAATTTGGATCCTTTCCCTTTAAAAGTATTACGACATCGTCTGCATAGCAGACAGGTCTAAGTCCTTTCTCAGTTAGGGTCCTTAGGAGGCCATTAATTGTGGTAACCCACACTAAAGGTGACAAAATGCCACCTTGTGGTATACCGCGAAATACCTTTTTCCTGATAGTTATATCGTACATCTCGCAGCTTATCCATCTGTTCCTTAGCATGTGGTTGATCCAGTTACGGAGCACACGGTCAACATAAAACTGGTCTAGGGATTGGATAAGAGTATCAGTGTGCACGTTATTGCAGGCGCCTTCGATGTCAATGCATACCGCCAGTGTATACAGTTTGCTATCAAAGGATGAACCTATGTAGTGGACAACTTCGTTTAAAGCGGTTTCCACAGATCGTCCCTTTATATAAGCATGCTGCTTAAATTTTAGGTCTTTGTC